AGCCCTTGACTTACCAAAAAAAAATCACTGCTTCATATCTTCTGCAAACTTTTACTGCCACCATATTTCCAAGGAGCAACAGTCCTAACAAAATTTAAAAAAAAAAACCCCACCTTTTCCCAGTACAGATATGATTTTGCTGTAGTTTTATGTATCTTTGTAATGTCCACAACTTAAAAGCTCTAAATTAGCAAAAAAAGGGAGACACACACTTCACAGCAGACCTGCATTTCAACAATTGTACTTAAAACATGAGGTGCTTCTGCACTTCATCTAAAACGTACTCGGCAGCAGGTGACCAACCATTACCCACGCTACAACTGTTTGAAACGATGCCAACAGACGACTGTACGACCTCACACTTCCCTCAAGTGCGGTCACTGGGGTGGTTATTTGCAGAAATCGAACCTCATTAGCAAGCAGGCTGCTGGACTTCTACAAAGCTTATGCTTGTCCACGTAAGAGCCCAACGACCCCCATCAGACAGCTCTTGAGGGGTTATGGGTGGCTGTACTGAAGAGCAGGACACAACGGAGAGTTCCTAGTTCTGCCGTATCACACAAACCTGCCAGCCCCACGTACATCCCCATTCCTGGCAAAAAATGAGGTGACAGGACCAGCTATGGCTTTGAGGGGTTTATTTCATTGACGCTCGTGAAGCACTTTGAGATCTTCGGGTAGAGGACACCATGGAAACACAATCTTACTGCCTAGAAGAGCAGCTGAACCTTCATCAAAAGGGGAATACTTTGTGCTCTGGCTACCTTTCCTTCACTGAGGAGGTATTTTAGAGTTTCCACCCTACAGCACAGAGATCTGAAGACCGGGTTGAATTTCACTGAGGATCACAATGTTTTATTTTTCTACTGTCTGTGATGAATTTGATCTGACATTATATGCTGATAACTTTGATTTGGAACAGCTATATCTGGAAACCAGGTTCCACTGCAAGCATTACTGCTGCACAACGGACGCAACTGTACTTACCTGACATTGCTTCCAGTTCCTCCATCACATAGATTATATTACTTTTTTAGAAATTAAATGTACATTTATACTCATTAATGGTAAGAAAATAAATATACTGGGGAAATAAATTCCATATTCTCATATTTCACATGGACCATTCGCCTTTTTTCTTTAATTCAAAATCGAGTTTTCAAGTTTCTCTGTTGGTTTCTCCAATGCAAATACCTTTGGGATTTTCACCTTAGGGATTTATTTTTCATAAAAAAGAATCCTCATGGCTGCAAAGCCCAGCTTTCAATTCAGACTGATGTAATTAACAATCTAAGATATTATCTGACAGAAGAAAATAAAATTGTCCAGGAACAAGCAGATATCAGCCCCAGCCTCCAGCGTTCAGCTAGTCTGGTGAAGGTTTACGGCAAGAATAATTTACTGACTTACAAGAGGCCTCTAGCAAGGGTCAGAAGAGATTCACAGAAAAAAAAAAAAATAATCTCTTTCTGGCTTCCCTGTATCAAACCCCACTCTGAATTAAACCAATATTCTTACACAAACATACCTCAGAAGTGACTATTTTATTAGATTTCTGCTTTACTGGAAGCAGGACTTTGTAAACAAAAGAGGTTCAAAGCTGTCCTTTAAAAATCTTTATTTTTTAATCTTTATTTATTTACATGTTGTCCTGACAGAGTAGATGCCAGCTGCTCTGTCAGGACGACATGAACCATGCCTCTCAGGTAATAAAGTCTTACCTATTTCTCTGCAAGTTATCAATTTCCTTGCCAGTTATAACATTTGGCTTTATTAACATTGAATCTATGTCATATTTTAACTTTATCATACACTACGGTACTAAGAGAAATTGCAGAAGTATTTCACACATGTAAAGTTTCACTTGCGTGAAAAAATTTCAGTCTCCTCCATCCAGAAGCACCAATTTAAGGTCCCTTCCAACCCTAAGCATTCCATGATTCTACGATCCATATTCAACCACAAAGTACACTGCATGAATTGAACTGTTACTCTGCTCAGAGGAACAACACTTAAAAAAATAGAACTGTAATGCTGGTGCATTTCATTTTAGTGTTAATAACAGATTAAACAACCATTTTCCAGTCCTATTTCTGTATTTCAGAACCTCTTATGCCACTTTCTTTCTCCAATAGCATTGAATACATTCACATATTAACACAATGCAAATAGAAAGAACTGAGAACAATCTCAGAAACACAACACTTCTGCGCAGGATAGGCATAAAGAATCATAGAATCACAGAATGGTTTGGGTTGGAAGGGACCTCAAAGATCATCTAGTTCCAACCCCCCTGCCACGGGCAGGGAAACCCTCCACTACACCAGGTTGCCCAAATTCTCATTTGTCATTGCTGCCATCTAAGACTTCAGAATGGGTTCATGAAACAACTTGACATTACTATTAGAAATTAAACAAGAACATAAAAGGAGATAAGTTAGCAGGATCCATCTGTTCCATTCGGAGAGTAAACAAGCTCTTCTCTAAAATAAATGCAAACACAGCACAGCCTAATTGTTGTGGCACACAAACAGAATCAAATCATTAACCTGCTTCAAAACACAAGCAGCAGTGGCACAAAGTTTATATGTATATGTATTTATTAGTTTACACGTATATGTGTAAAGTTTATATATATATATGTATTTGGAGCTATTTTCTCCCTAGAAACAGCAGCATACAGAAGTGTGATATTATACCCAGGAAAGGTATCAAAGTATTTTTTAATAGTTGCAAACGGGAAATAAACTACTCCCAGTCCCTCCACCCTTTACTGCCCTGGTAAACGTTGTTTCCTCCTCGCCCTCAGCCTTGTCGGGTCAGTTGTTCTGTTGACAACTACCTGAACTGCTGCTGCCCACGCTGCATAACCGGCTGTCTTTGCAGCTGAAGCTACAGAGCTCGTGGAGAAAGTCAATGCTTGTGCAGAGAAACTAGTGAGTCCAAACCTGTATTTCACACAAATACCTTCTGAGGGCAAAGCCTGAGATGCCCTGTGAAGAGTTTTCAAACAGGGAGTACTCACCGCATGTTTGCACACTCACCTTTGACAAACAGGTCCTCATGAGATACGCAGTTACACCAGAGGAGGGAGAAAAGAAAATGCCTGAGAATAGAACAGTTGGGCAGTCTGCACAGCTTAAAACCCTTAGTACGCAGAGTAGCATCTTTAATTTGAAGCAGTGTCACCTGTTACTTGACATACGTGTACATATAAATTACAAGCCAAAGGATGTGAGACCACTACCCCGAAGTGATGATCTAAATATATGGAATACGCATGCTTATGTGCAAAAAAAGTGACATACAGAGCAGAAGTTAATCAACTTAAGACTTCATTACTTTATTTTTTTTACATTAAAAAAAATTACAACATAACAAGGGTTTGAAAAGCCAAGTAAACCTGATTTCACACACGCACACACTTGCTAAGTCACAGGGTTCAACTGTCTGAAGTGATATTTTCTGATTTTCATCAGGATATTTTGTTGAACAATATACACATTAAGAGCCTCATGACAAAGCCTGACACATTTTTTCCCAATCTTTAGGATGTGCAACTGAATATGCAAAGATTCTTGTGGAACTTCCAACTTCCCCCTCAGTTACACAAGACGTAGTATTTTGTTCATCTGACTGCAATTTCACTGGACATGTCCACCTAGAAACTCTCCAGTGTCACCCATCATCTTCCCCAAGCAAAGTGAACATACTACACAGTATTGCACAGTTTTGTTCGTGGGGCCATAGATAAGAAATGGATCCCTTAGTAGTTTCACTCACCCAATGGTATAAAACCTGATGAAGCTGGAATCAAGATGCCACAGTTACAAATAAATGGAGAAGCAACTCACTGAAAAAAGAAAGTACAGCTTCTGTAGTACGTAAACTTTGTAACGTGAGATTCCTCAGCACGCTGAACTGCTTGAGGTGGGACAGAGCATCAGTGCTACTGGCAAAGCAAAGCAAGAACAGGACAATTTTAAGGCAAGCCCCAGAACAGGGAGCTATTTACTTTCTAGGCACGATTTCAAGCTATGCATCAAGGCTCCTGCTTTATCCTTTATATTGTCAGTAATTTATAGAATAGATTAACAACAAAAAAAATAGCCTAAATATAATTTTTAAAGAACTCAATTTTAGCTGAATTTCATTACTTGCAGCTTGTATTTCATTACTTAGAGATTTATAAACATTTCTTAGCACTACTGTTGTTTGTCAGGCCCACGTAAAGCAGTTCGAGATCTATATTGCTTTCGTTTCTTGAAAGTAGTTTTGGTTGGAAAACGGTTAAATTCAAAATAATTCCTTCTATTGCAGATCTTTCTACACTTAAGATCTGTTGTACTTGAGAAAAAGGACACCGCCCTCATTCCTCTGATGTCTTTGTTCAAGGGATCATTAAGTTAACAGCTTTCCTTCCATCGAAAGGTCTGTACGATAAAAAAGGGGCAGAGCAAGACCTTACAAAAACAAACGTCTTCAGTCAAATTAACCCAAATCTGCAGTACATTCATTTTAATCTCACACAGGAGGATGCAGTCACTGGTCCCACTTACCCCTGCACAGAAGACTAGATGCAATCCTCAAACACCTACATTTAAGTTCCTCTAGAATCAATGCATTAAGAATTAGAGATTAGTTAAAAGTGTTGCTTACTGAAGATTTAGAACTTACCTAAACGCCGTATGAGATTAATACTGCCAAACACAAGACATGCTTTTGTGAGCCTGGGAAGACATCTGGCAGGGGTCTAACAGTGCCTCTGATGTGTTACGCTGCTGTGTGCACCAGTCCTTTGAATCACTTGCATATGAGGAATGTGTGCCTGAAGTGGGACACGAGTACAGCTCTGTTTGTTGGGATAAGCTGAAATAGAAATTAAAACTGAACAACTACTATTCCCTGAAAGCTGGATTTAGAAGGCTAGGTCTCATTTGAGATCAACTTTCACCATAATGCTCCTCCTCATGATTGACAACTGCACCTAGGTATATACTTTTTATAAAAACACACAGGTAATTCCCGAAGCATTTATCAAATAAAAAGGGTTTAACAAAAAAGGATAATTAATCTCATAAAATAAATTACAGTAGCATGACATTTGGCTTGTTTAGTGTGACCACGTGCTTCTCCTTTGTTATCTTGCTGTTAGATCATTACAGATCCAGTTCGCGTCTCTGAAAGTTAATGAGATGTCTGTGACGATAAACGTATAAAACTCTGCTTGCTACAAGCAAATGTCTGATATCAGTTTCACCTGGTCACAGATTATATGTAGACAGCCTTCTCTGGCCCCAAATAAATATTATATAGTATTCTTGCAAGTTCCAGCATAACCAGACTCAAACAGAAAACTCAGGTCCTCCCTTCTTTGTTCTCAGTAGCAGCTGTCTGATTCGAAATCCTGCAAAAGGATTGATCCACAGGAGTGAAGGCTGGCCCCCAAAAACAGATTTCATTCCTTCCCAACGTAGTCTTCGCTCCCATGTCGGCTTTTCACTCTTCAGTCTTTCAATCTCCTGTATATAAACAGACATACAGTGACACACTTAAGTCTGAAGTTTAGTGAAGTCTAATTATCAAAACTGACGACTATTTCGCACTCTTAATTTACACCCCGTGATCTGATTAGTTCCTTACTGTCATTTAATAAGGAAGAAATAAGAATGGCACAAGACTTGGAACACAAAACGTGCACAAGGAGGTTGGTCTACCTCTAGCCCTTCTCTCCTCAAACTAAAAGACAAAATGACCAGAAAAGCTGATGTTAAAATAGAGGATCTGCAGCCGATGCACCTGCACTAGAAGTTGTTTACTCAGTTAATGAAACCAGACAACCAGGCTTCCAAGGCGGCTCTGATGCTGCAGTTACTGAAGGTAGGTTCACTCTCCCAAATGCATTATTTTGACCATCATTTTTCACACTTCCTGCTAATGAAAGCTGGAGATTTACCAACTATTTTTCCACAGTTACTCTGTGTTACACGAGAAAATTCTGAACAGCTACGAGATTCAAATTCCTTTTGTTTCCAGTCAATTATCTGACACGAAACATCCTCTAAAGGCTTAATGCTGCAGATCTAAAGGCAAGGGAATCAAATAGCCACACTATGGTTATAATCTAATACTAAAGTGTATCAGAGAAAAGTGTGAAGGGTTGACACAAGATAGCTAGTTTAATTGTAAACCTGAGAAGACCAGGCATTTCTCATGACACATATCAGGAGTTTGTGATAGTTGAGAAGTGCAAGTCCAAACTGAAGTCAGAAGCTGTGCAATCTTTGTAACTGAAAACCTAATTATAAAATTTATGTCAGAAAAGCAAATAACGCACGAACTTCTGTTAGATAGCAAACCTCAAGAAAGTATTCAATCCTTACAACTGTAGAAAATAAAAACAATGAGCTATTTCAGATTTGGGGTTTTCTCCAAAACAAGAGCCTCCCTTCACGAAAATAAAACATCTAATCACACCTTCCTAGAAGAATTGTTATAGCACACAAAGCAGAGGTCTTTACCGTTTCATCATTGCATATTGAGTGGATTTGGGTGCCAAACATGACTGCAGTGAAAGTGAGAAACAGAAAACCCTCAAGGCACAAGAAGATCATCAGGATCACAGTTACAGGTGGGGAGAAGTCGCTGCATTCTGTGAAAACGACATACGTAGTTACAAAAAAAAATAATTTAAAAATATCTATAGAGCATGTTGATACTGAGATATCCCCTTTTCAACAAACAGCAATGCAAGTTAAATATCTGACACCTGAAACAACATTTCACAATACAACAAACTTCTAATTTCTAGCACTGCAGCAGCTTTACTTGCTGCCCAAGGAAATAAAAGGATTTTAAGGAAGTAACACTTTTGTCTCCCTATAAAGCACATGGTACTGCATTGCTGCAATCCTGCCTCAGTATTTCAAGAATATCAAATAAATGTTTGCACAGGAGACCATTTAAGTACTCAGAACTGCACATACATAAAGATGACACCAGCTTGAAGATGGCAAACACTGTAAAAACCATCACCACTGCCAGCTCTGACTTGCTGGTTAATCCAGATGTTCCATTTTGCTGCAATTGTTTTATCATTATTTTTTAATTCACCAGACAAAGCAATTGGGTTCTGACTTACACTTAAAGTCACATCTCTGGAGATCCTCTGATGAACTGATTAACTCAATTATCGTTAAAGAAAGAAGAAACAGGATAGTATACAGGAAATAGAACGTTTCAAGTATAAAAAGGACTGAGATTGCATCCATTTAACAGAATATTCAGCAAAAAACAGTCATGTGGATTCCCCTGTTGCTTCCAGGGGTACCAGGAAGAATACATGATCAACCATCTTCCACCAAAAGCACAGGATCAGAACAAGCTCTGGCACACTGAAACATTTAAGAAATGCAAGTCAGAGCTCTGAACAAACAACTGCGACAGTTCAGGAAATTTATTTTCCACAGGATCCCCACAGTTGGCTCCAGTAACAGAATGAAGGAGAAAAATGTTTAAATTTCAGCTGTCATTCACCGAACTGTGGTGGGACACACAGAGCTCAGCTGGCAGCTTCAGGTAATATACTGCTGAGGTGGTTGAGGACCAGCTGTTTCCTTCCTATTACAGAGGCAGTAAATTTTTACTATGTGGAAAAGGAGTGAGAATGCTCTTGACAGCCACAGTTCTCACAGTGAATGACTAAAGGAAAGTAGGAAAAAAAACAGGAAGAAAGAAAGAGATATGGGTAAACAGGTATGCTTCATTTTCAGGATCTCACTTTAAAAAGATTTAAGTCCTGTAATATTTCATACACGGGATGGAAATAGGTGGAATGCTATGACTTTCCCTTAATATCTACTAGATTATGACAGTGAAAGTTAAGTATTTGCTTACCAGTCCACTGCCCTCGGACACAGGAGAAAAACTGAAACCCACACAGTACGAGTGCATGAGCTGAAATTAGGGCTATATACATCTGGAAATGAGAGAGAGTGCTTATTTTTGACTGCTGCCAGATAGTAAACCAGACATTCCCTTCAGGCAGCCTTCACCACTGCACAGCAAATATACTTTCCTATTTCAATTTTTAATTTAATACAATGATGTAAAAACAAATTCTAATTAAGTTTGAATCTAAAAATGTGGGCTACAATGAAAGTTTAAGGATTAGGTCCCTGAATCACAGAACCATTTCACTAATTGTTACTACATAAAGCACAGCAAAATTAAGATAGTTTAAAATAATGGCACAAGATTAAAATATGAGCAGAAGTATCTTCCTGCTTGAGAGTATCTTGCATAGAAGCAAAAAACTCCAAACCAACCATACAAAACAATTGTGACCTTAAGCCATTACTCACTACTAAGCACAACCAAAATTGTTATAATTAAGGTAGATTCATATTGAGATCAAGCTGCTCTTGGTTTTCACTTACCGTAAACAGAACAAAAAATCTCTGATTTTTCTCCCCCACGCAATTATTCACCCACGGGCAGTGGTGATCCATCTTTCGAATACATCGTTTGCAAATACTGCAGGAAAGGAAGAAAGTCTTTTGTTGAAAAACAACACTTCACATTTTAATGTAGAAACAAGGCTATCCAGTGGTCACAAGATGATGTGCTGAAACCTACTTTCCTGAGAAACTGCAAACAGTGATTTTACAAACATTTTAAGTGCTCGCCTAAAACTCAGCTTTCACTTGTTGCACATAAGATACTCTTCACATAAGAAAAACAGTATTAATATGAGAATCCTTACATATCCAAACACACAACCCAGTGACCCCAGTAACTTTAGACAATTTTGGCACTTAATGGGCAAGGTTTCAGTTCTTCCTACATTCAATATTAAAAAAAACCCCTTCCTTTCTGGAGAAGCTTTTTTAGACAAAGTAATTCTGTCAAGTTTACAGACTTTCAAGTTGTAAATGTACTTTGTGAACCAGAAAAAAAAAAAGCAAGAAAGAAACTGACATCTTTAAGAGACAAATTGTCACTCTTGAGGTTTCAAGCGGACATACAACTCTAAAGATATGTAATCAAAATCTCAACTACAGAACAGCTTACAGTGTCACATCTCACTTCCTCAACATAAAACAAAAATATTGAAACTATAAGCAGCACACATTCTTTGCATACTTGTTAATCAACACTTAAACACTACTGTTCTTTGCTAGTTCTGCAAGTAATTGCTTAGTTTCTGCCCAGGTTTGAGTCAAGGTTATTTCCAGAACAAAAACTCAAATATTTCAGTAAATCCACTTTACAGCTGGTAGGCCACATAGCACCAGAGGGCTCATTTCTCTTATATTCAGGTCCACCTGCAGCCAAACATGAATGGTTAAACAAGAGAAACAGAAGAGTTGTAACACACATGGAAGTTCTTCATAACTCAATAGCATAAGTAATGCTGATGTTTTATTTCCTAGCTTTGTACTTAAGATAGCCACACACTCAGTGGTTCAGATTTTCCTGCAGAACGTCCAAAACATGAAGCATTTTCATTTCAGCAGTTACAAAGCCAAATAAGGCTTAAAAACGCAGGCACTATTATTCAAAATCATTTGGTTTTAGCACATGCTTATTTATGGATGATATCTATGAGTGCTGCAGTGACAAACCACAAAGTAAAGCTGGATGATTGTAACCAGAGGGAAGGAAGGGCGGGAATGGGTGGGAATCGATGCTCCGAGGCATAAAATAATTTTTAAGTCATCACATATGCTTGATTATAAGTAATTCAGCAAGGGGCAGAAGATACTCCTGTGCAGGTTGCATGAGAGAATCTCAAATCTCTCACTGCTCCTCCGAAGCTCCCTTTGTCCCGAGCTATTATAACCCAGCCCTTACGATCCCACTGCCTCTTGTTTCATAGACAATAAAGACAATTCATCCTCTGCTGCAAATTGCTATTTAAATAGTGCCAGTTACACCTGAAAATCCCAATACCACAACTGAACATCACAACCATTCTCCAGTGCAGAGGAACAGGTATCATTCAAGAGAAGGCATCAGAAGGCTCTCAAAGACTCCAGTTTCACAGCCTGCTGCCTCTAAGTTCAGCCTGGCATTAACTTCCTGAGCTCTGGGGGAAGGTGAGCCAACTCCAGTCGCCACAACCATGCACGGCTCCTAACGTAACACAGAATATACTCTGTCACTCTAAAAAGAATATTAATGTTAAGTATCGAGTGAAGTCACATCCAGACTCAATCAAGCCAAACACTGGAGGATGTGAGGTGGGCAGGACACACTTTTGCTCATTCAGTTTTTCTCACAAGCCCACGCAGAGTTCTCCAAGACATGAGACGTCTGGAACCCTGCCTTCATTTCTCATGTCACACCACAATTCAACGAACGCTTCCAACCAACAAACTCACAGCAACGCTTAAAGCAGCGGTTCTGCTGTTTTTCTACCTCCATTACTTGTATTCTACTCCTCCCCTTGTCCAAGAACAGATGTTCATGTGGCAAGAGTTCAGGGAAGCCACTCCATTAGCTGTAGCCTGGGTCATTTCACTGTGCATGAATACTCACGCCTTGCACAAGAGGAAGGAGAAACATGGTAGTGAGAACAGGCAGCTGTGGACAAAGGAAGATCTTCTCCAGCTTGGCACTGCTGCTGAATGCACTCAGGCCACTGCAGGTGCAATTACAGTTTTGAACGTCGAAGACAACACTCAAAGACACAGCTAATGGCTTAAGAGAAACTGGTCTGGATAACAGAAATTCACAGGAAGACTGATGCCAACATCTCAGTGACTCGACTCTGAATAACAGTTCCCCACACACAAACGCAGGCACTCAGAATAGGCTAGAAATAATGACAGCTGTGCTCTTTCAGTGAAAATGAAATAGTACTCACTCCGGATAAGCCTCTTTCTTATGCCGAAAATGTTAACTGCTTAGTAAAATCTCTGTTCAATGTATTTCTCTGAGGCTAGGTATTTAGCTGCAAATAAAAGTTTCTTGGTTTCCCATCATTAATGTGTATTATGCAACTATTTTTCTTCCTTAAAAGAACTTCTGCAGTGTTGCACAACAATTTTCATAACTACATCATAAGAGTCTCTTTATTAATAATTTACTACTCAAAACATGCACTGTGGCTTTGAGTGTAAGTATTTCCCAACAGGAACCAACTTCAATTTCCATTTTCAAGTCTCTTCTATCAGCAAATTGCCACTTTGACTACTTGGGACTAGACCGTCCTTTTAATGTCCTTGGAATGGGTTTGTAAGCCAATAAAATGTTGGCAGTATAATCAAACCAACCTTTTTTCTATTCAATAAACTTCTGCAGTGCTGAATCTATGTCAAAGAATCAGATTCTGGCAGCTGGTCTATGCAGCATGTATTAAACACTCAAAAAAATTACAGAAAAAGCCTCTGTTCTACCTAACAAAAGTTAATAGCAACTACTAGTAGCATATACGAGTAACAGAAACAAAGGCAATTAAACCATGTATCCACATGCTGAGAAAAACAGGACAGCAAGCTTACAGAAGGAGAGCACATACACTTGCAGGCTCTGGCTTTCTCTTTCGGACGTTCTGTGAAGCCCGTTACGTACTGTGCAAGAATTAAAATGAAAAAAACCCTGTGGAAGTATCACAGATTTCCTTCATTCTAGACAATATCCATCCTTGCTCTGCTTTAACAATAAATGCCATTCGAATTCTTGCTATAAACAACGTATTCAAAGTCCCTACTTAGCTTATTTTTATTCTTCTTTCATGAAGAAACAGTAATTTTTCAATCAACACCACCTAATCTGGAATCACAAGCTACTGGAACATCCAAGATCATACTGATGACCCAGATGTTCCCAAGAGATTCTGCAGGGCACAGAGCTGCAGGGGCTCTAGGCTGTCCAGTGCTCTAGCTTCTTTACTCAAAGGTAGAATTCAAGATGAGGTGTCCTCATTTAGAGCTATTTCCAAATTAGTGAATCCTATTAGGACTAAAGATGTGGGAAACACTTTACAAAGATACTTGCAAAGTCTCTGTAGGAGCCAGCCTAAATCCGAGCTGAGAAAATTACCAAGATCCAACCTACACTCTGCAGAGGCTCTGGGCCATCCCTTTACTGCATCCCATGGACACGATGCCAGGACATCTGAACAGACTGCACAAAGCTGTTTCGGATCCCCAGACCTTATCAGCTTTCATTCTGCCACAGGAAAGCAGCTGCACTGCTCCCCCCCCCGAGGCCCACCGAGCCAGCGGCACAGCTGTGGGCCTGGAACATCCCACCAGAGCCAACAAAGCCCACCAGAACCAAACTCCCTGCACAGGAAGGCAGGTCTGCTGCCCGCACCCATGCAAAAGCGAACCTGCACCACAGAGAAGCTAGTGGCGGGTAATGCTACACTTGACTATTTACACATGAAACCTCTCCCTTCACACTCCAGATACAAAAACCCACTCACACCTGAGAGAAGAGCACGATTTCAGTGCCAGGGCTGAGTATTTATGCTGGAAATAGCTTCTCAGCCGTAACTTTCACACAGATAAGTGACACACACTGAGACGTTTAATTTAGAAACCACAAATCTACAGAATAATTTGAGTCCTGACAAGACTTCACTCTGTTCTTTTGATGGGCACTAACTCAGAGACTTAAATTTAATGTGCCACAGAATTCAATATACATCACTGCTCACACCTCGAGAGAGCCACCAGAAACATTTACATATTTATGTATGTCTTAATTATGCAGACATATCTATTTGCAACTCTTACGCAGCAAACGTGACACATGCATACCCACAGCGCCTGAAAAATCAACAGATTGAGAATTTATTAAAAATGGATACGTTTACTATCTCTTCCACAGCATGTTTAGATCAAATTATTATCACTTCTGTCCTTATTAAAATGAATCTTCGATAAGCAGAAGTGCATTCAGACAATTACACCTAGAACTTTGGGAAATAATGTGCCAACTCACACACAACTACAAATGACACACTACGAAGACAAGAAGACACAAACTGAAGTGTTAGTTTAAAACTAATGTGTATTTTCTCAATTTAAGATCACAGGAGTCATTTCTTAAACCAGCTTCTATCAGAAATTTGCTTGAGATTCCTCCCTTTGCCCTGCATTATCAACAGTATGGCACAAGAATTGGAATGACACACAAAAAATATTTACAGATCAAAAAGTAGTTAAGGCACCACAATATGATTGTTTTTTAAAAACCTCTTGCTTCTTTCCTCTCATCCACATTCATTTTTGGCCATAGGATATTATATTTATAAAATACTCTGCGATGTATGAATTTGAAAGTTCATTGGATATCAAAACAAATTTGTAGGAAAACAATGAACACAAATATCAGGAATAAATAATCTTATTTATTTTAGTTATTCCAAGACTCAATAGGCATAACTGCTTTAAAGAAAACTCGGGCATACCTGCAATGGTGTGCACGTTCAGGTTTGATACTACAGCACTTTGGACATTTGTAAATCACTTCTCCTGGTTTCAGTTGCAAATTATCCATGTATTCTTTAGTGGCATTTCCTTTGGGTACAGCCCCCTGAAATCATTTCAATTAAAGGAGAGAAAGCTTCTTAAATGGTATGAGAGTGTTTCAGAATACATTTTATAGGCTTCATACCAGTAATCTCAGGATAATTGCTGAAATAAGTTCATTTACTCAAAACCAGTCCGACATAGGCCAGAATCACTTCCAAATGAATAAATTACCTCTGCTTGACCTCAAATTCAGTTTCATTTCAGCAAGACTCATCTATGGCCAAGTATTAGCATAATTCTGACAGAATCTGCCTGATAGAATCTGCTGTCACCAGCATACATAAAATGAAGAGGAAGATACATCTTCACATGCAAATACAAGCACTACAGGTACAATATTTGCTGAGCAGTTACTCTGAACAGAACTCTTACAGCAGCAGATGTTAATTGTTTTGATGTTCAATTATCAGGCCAAGCCATCCACAAAAGTTAAATCAGCAACAACTACTTGAAAGACATTATTTCAACTCTCTGAATCCAAGATTTAGCCATCTGCCTCATGTATGCAAGTTTTTGAGAACAGTCATCCTCTTTTCCTTTATGTTTAAGCTTTTAGCTTGGACATTGTCAGCACGAACCACCACCAGCTGCTTTATTCTGTATCTAGTATCCCCTTCTGCTACTGTGAAAGTTTGTGTAGCTACATGGTAAACAGTTGAAGGAACTGATCCAAAAGAAAAATAATCCATCAGGAAAATATATTATTTTTTAGTGATTAGTTCTCGGAGCTGTTCACCACAGAGCTGCATTAGCAGCTGTTTCAACACAACGATGATGATGATGAATGGACAGGAACAGTAGGCAGGATTGTTTCTTCCAGTAACAATATTACCCTAGAGCCTTGTGAGATCAAAATCTATCTTTGGATTAGTAAGAGGAAAATAAAGGAAAGTACTGCTGACACCTTGCTTATTTACAGAGCTAAAGGCTGATCTGTGAAAGGAGGTGATCGTAAAATAAACTGGGCTTTAAAATAAAATGGCCTTCCTATACCAACTCCTCCAGGCCAGCACTGACTTCACACAGGGACAGACTTCTCCAGGCCAGCTTAAATCCTCTGCAACACTCTGTAATTATTTCTCATTCAGAAAAAGCCCACTGGCAACATCATCACTTTATAGACACCTTAAGGAAGTTTTTGGGACAGAATTAAGCCGCCACCGGGCACTTCAGATTCAACTGCAAAACACCTCCCTACTTAGGCAGAAATTTTTTGTTGCCTGGAATAACAACCTTGTGTTTGTACAGCCCAAGACACAGCCCCAGTTCTGCCCCAGAAGAACTCTTCGGCTAAGTGGTGCTTCGCACCTGAGCCAGCTGGCCTCTGCAGGATACGAACTCAAAGAGTGTTCCTTGAACACTCATTTGTACTGCTGAAGTGGTTTTTGCAACATAAATGTTCTCAGTGAAGTTAATAGTTTGGTGTAAACACGGTGAATTCTCTCAGAGAGAACTCCTAAAGCACAAACGTGTCTTGTTTCAGGTAAATTTATGCTTATAAAACACATCTCTCAAACTCACCTATTCATCTGTCACTAAGGATGGTAACTTCAGGCTGTGCTTTTAGCATTTTGCTGATAAAAATATGTTCTATTTCAAAAACATCTTTCATAGTCTCAGGCTGTCACCAGTTCCTTCCTGAAAAGTCTATTTTTATAGTTATAAAAGTATATTTAATTCACATATGTTTTGAGGCAGTTTACTCTTTTTTTCTTGAATCTTAGCTTCTATCACATAGTCGTGTCCTCCGTTCTGGCAGTCAGCAGGAGAGGAGTGGAGGCAAAAAAGTAATGATTCATTTCAATTTCTACCATGTTTTATCCATAAAGAACAACATAGGTACAGAAAGACACACAATTCTACCAGGACACATTTTTAAGTCTTTAAATTGCTAACTTTTAGCTGTCACAGTCTGTAAAAGTCCTAACATTTGATCACTGGGGGTGGGCTCAGAAGTAAATCAAAGACCTAGCAAATCGTTAACTTGTTTGTTTTTTGTGGTGTTTTTTTTTTTTTTAACTTTTATATACACTGTTAATGTCTCAAAACTTTGGAGACCATAGATGGTTTTCCCCTCAAACCCTATCTCCCCAAATTTCTTCCCTAAAATGAGTAATGGTTTTTAGTAAAAATTAAGCAATTTCATCTCTTGAATTGAAGAGTAAAGTCTAAGAAATGAGTACTTCTAAGACCTTTCATACCTCCACTGTCCAAACTGCATGGGGGTGCAACTTAAATCTCCCTTCCCACTGACTCCAAACACCTAAACGCAACACCACATGAAAGATGTAGTACAGAAATTGTTACTTTATGTCAATATGTGACTGAGGTTTTTCAGCATATCTACCTCTCAAAGTTTTTCCATGTGCCATAAATGGAAGATACATTTCAAACGATACAACAGGAGGAAGCTACAACTTGTTATGAAGTTTTTAAAATATATCTGATGAAAAAAAAGTAAGAACAGTTAAGACAAAAAAGACTAAAGCTGTAATAGCTTCTTCAGAACCTGGGTTAAAGGTTTAACAAATAAACTGTATTTCTCTTGAGCTTACATCTCCCTTGTGAATTAATTTTATACTGCCTGCTCCTCAAGTCAAAAATTATTGATGGATTCATTAACAGAACAACAGGAAAAGTACAGATATCATCCCTTCAACTTGAGGGTTCTGCATGTAATACTACTTTTCCCAGCAGGAGGAGACGGATAGCCCTTCTCCAAATTTCTCTGCAGACAATGAGCTACAGGAGAGAACAACCCCATGTCAAGGAACGACCGCATACTTACGGGATCAGTTAGCATAGTTCTCAGATGCGACGACAAAGCTAGCACTGCCAAGCAGTTAAAGAGAACACCGTTGATGACAGAGTACCAAAAGTCTTTGGAAGGCAGCAACATGACAAAAGTCACTACGAAGTCTGCATAGACAACCAGAAGCCATGTCATTATAGCACAGACCATACCACAGCCATCTCGGATGAACCAAACCCTCTCTGCCATGTCGGCCTCTGAGGAAGAGGAATCATAGCTGTCATTTTCAGCAAGAAGTGGGTGGTGCTCAACATCACGGAATCTGTGCCCTGATGACTGCATGGTTTTCTGGCCTTGCCCTGCAGGAAGCAAAGATACCATTATTATGCACGAGGAAACTGGACATATGGATGGCTCTTGGGTTTTATTTCTGTAAGACAAAACATATCCAAGTTCAAAATACATTACTGAGATATTTTTGATCAAAACCTGAACAATTCTATGACTACATAAAGATGAAATGTTTCTGTAATCGAAAGATACTAATTTACAAAGTTTCATCAAAAATTTTGTAAGCCATTTACTGAGTTTTATAATCTCCTAACTCTTTTTCAATCATGCAACTTTAATGCTTGACAAAGGGATTTTAGAATGGTTTCATCTCCACCTTGCTGTGCCCGTAAACCATTCTTTCCCTTTTGCTAAAAACACAACATCTTTCTCTTATCTCAAACTAAAATGGCAAAGTCTTCATTAAGTTACAGCTCATGTCGCCCAGAAAACAGTAAATTATGGCACCACACTGTTGACTTTTCATATTGCTCCAGCAACCCAGGGAAGAGCAGAAGAAAAAAACAATGGAAATAAAGGTGTTCTAGTACATTGTTCACAACAGAAACCACAGCAAGTTAGAAAGTAGCTAAATTTGTTGACAAAAGCACTATTGTGTTGAAAAAAACCCACAAACCTGTTACAAAGATACATTGAATAACTTACAAATGGGTCTCAGATCAGACCAAACTTAAAGGAAACAAAAGGTAGTGGTTAAATTAGCATGGCACTGGATTACATGAATCAGATTTCAAAGGACATGACTTAATTTAATGAAAACTCTTTTAGGGCTTTGTTGTTCCAATGTGGAACAAAAACAAAACTTGAAACCTTAATAGTTTTCATAAAACCAGAACTGTTTTCCAGGCATTTCTAACAAGTAAAGATACAGAATGGGACAACTGAAGTGCTACCAACAAACAGGAAACAAATTAAAGTTAAACATTATGCAACAAGAACAGCCTGCTACTTTGAAAGTATACTGTGTTCTAAAAATCACATTGATCCAGGCTATTAAGGCCATGCCTAAGAGAAACTTGAAAGCTTTTATATTGATTGATGACAGCCACGCAGAAGTCTCTGTTCTTCCCTCGTATTAATGGTATATATGACTCGTAGGAATCATGACACTTCAGTTTATGTCTTGAGACCTTGTCTTGTCTTGTCGTCAAGACTTGTAAAAGAAAAGTCAAATTTTATGAAGCCTACATAATGAGCAGCTGGAACATGAAGTTAATTAGGCAAATCAGCTACTATTTCCTCAAAAATGGGCACACAAAACTTTTAAGAAACATTATTGTCTTTTTCTCTCTTAAAATAAAAAAGGACCCACAAAAAAAGTAGATACAGTAAGCTTTCAACTAAGCCTTGAAGTATACAAAGAGCTGACAGCCAAGCAAAGTTATCACACACTCTAAATACCCAACAAATGCTTGAAATAGCCAAACTTCTAAAGATATTAATGGCAGTACTACAGAAACAGTCAAATACAGTGTATTCACATCTTAGGATTGTGTCAAAACACTTTTCCCCAATTCTGTCTTTTTTAACTCAGAATTAGGGTAAATTCAACCAAATTCACAATGGCAAAAGTACTAGCTTTTCTCATTTTTTTAGTATTCGTTCCCCGCCCCCCCCCCCAAGTTCATCTTTTTGTTTAAAAAAGTCACTATGTAAGTAATTTGGAACATTTTTTTAAACAAAATATTTTGGGTTTTTCTTCCACCAAAGGACTGTTTAGACCTCCTGCTGCACAGATGTTTTGAAGTGTTTGAGAGGAATCACTGAATCAAAACCAATCTCCCAATTCTGAAGCTTTCTACAGAACAGAAATTTGGGATTCCATCCAGCTAGGCTGCAATACCACAGAAGACGAAATATACAATTATTTTTTCAATCAAAGCAAGTTTTCAGCTGCTCAAATCAACAAGTTACCTTAAATCACAACAGATGTCAAGATTCTGAAAAAAAATAAATCAGTATTTGTGTATGTCATGAGAAATGCGAATTTTAGATCAATTCTGGAAGCAAATCCTTTAGCATAAATGGCATAAAATTACTGTATTCATTTTGTTTAATTGTATTAAAGACAGCCAAGACGTTTTTTGCCACAATAGAAAAAACCCACATACCTCACAAACGTTTCATACGTTACTCTGACATCATGTCCTTCCTTTGGGCTATCCTAGGCTACTCACATAGTCATATCTGATGTAATCTGAAAAGACATCGTCAACAAACTCATTAGTAAGCACTTTTGCTTCATCAGGAAAACACTGTTAAGCACAAATAATACACACAGACAGCATTATAAACTAATGTATCCAAAAACCTTCTTCTTTTTCCTGTTTGCCACTCCTGTATGACTAAGAGAGTGTGCAAAAATTAATAACCTTACCTGACTGTCCTCAGAGCTTACAGCAAGGCTTTTGGTAGCAGGATAGTATGCATGCCTACTACTATTTTTATAATCGTAAGATGAGATAGAAAAAAATTGGTTTAACTCTGATTATTAGACCAAGCTATGGCCAATTTAAAATAAAGAAGCTACTCATTCCAGAACCTCTCTATAAAAGTAATGACCCCTAAATGACCCACAATGTCCCACAATAAAGGGAACATGCACTTACGAAGTTCTTGCTGGAATTTCACCATATAGGCAAATAATCACCATACAACTCATGACATACAAACCAGTACAAGGACTGAAACGCTAGCATAAATCATTCTAACCATGCTTAATTTTACAATACGAACGTTCCACGATCTTGAATCATATTCCTTCTTTTTCACAAGGACATAACACTTAAATTCAACACAGACTGTGCAAAGTAAGAGAGCATCAGTAGTTTTAAAAGTAGAGAAGATTTCCTTTTTCAGAATCAAAGAAGAGGAAGAATAACTTATTTTATTTAGAAAATCAAGTACTTCAAAGCTCGAGAATTTTACCAGTTGACTTTTGGAAATCGCCACATGGCATTTGAAGCAGGACTGCAGCACAAAACCTTGACTTAGATGTCTATCTGGGGAAGAACAGATGAGGTGTGGGCCTGAATTTCTGACTGGAAAAGTCCGTGACCACTGCAAACTGTAACATCTACCTGGCGAGTAAATTCCCAATACATGATTAAGGAAAATCTTCTTGGTTTGTTTCATACAGTACAGAAGAAAATGACTAGCTTGGAGTCAGAATTCCAAATTTGTGTCTGATCAAGGTTGGCTGAAGTACCAGCTAGGTTTATTTCTTCAGCTGTTTTATTTTCTAGTATTTAAAATAAGACTCGTAACATGGAAGCCTCACCCTTTTATTTGGAAGGTTCATTTAAATTAATATGTTTTGAGAGTACTGCAAGGATTCTGACATTTAACAGCTATAGAAAATACGAAGCCACTTACTTCTAAGGGAAAGCTTCTACTGCTAGGTTGCTACAAAAAAATATTCCAAATACAACGTTGCTGATGGGGTTCTTCGGTATACATTTTCACATTTTCCCAATTCAAGGGGAATTATACCAATGCAGACTTCCCCTGAAAATGAGAAGCCTCTTGTGTTATTTAAACAAACGAATATATTCTACTGCCAGCCTAAAAGGTAATGCAAATGCTTATTACACACATACAACTGCACGAAGCTACTGATTGCTTTCTGTTTTGCTTTATAAATAAGCTTTTATACTTTTGTTAGACAAGTTTTCACAATATTGTGAAACCCACAATCATTAAGTTGTCATTGACACGGCATTTTGTGAAAGCTAAGTAGAGACAGACAAAAAGACGACAGGTTGAGTGTATTCCATTAATTTGCAATGTCACCCACCCGCTCTCCCAGGTGAAGATGACGAGCAGTAGAAGATGATGTGCTAAGCCTCTGCAGGTGAAACACCAAAGTCACAGTCATCACTCAAAATTGTTAACAGAGAATTCATTGACAAGACAGGGACATGATCTGGTCAGTCAGTTCCCTAATCCTAAACGAAATTCTGTGCAAAATTTCTGTGTTTATTGTAGCCTCACTCAGTGTTTTACCTGGAAGTGCCACCACAGTTCAGCTTTCATGAAAATAATAGATTTAGTCATTCTCGTGTGATTTCTCCCTCCCCTGCTCCCGTATGTTTTTGCCCTCTCCAGCTGCCTACACCATTACCCCCCACCCTGGTCCCCTCCAAGGTGAAGAGGATCAGTGTCTGAAAAGCACTTAGACTTCATGAAGAGCTAAGCATCCCCACTGAGATGCTCACAGCTTTCCTCTAGACTATTAATTTATTTGCTTCAGGGCCTGTCCCAACTAAATTTAGAGTCTTTGTTGTACACTTAAAGCACAAACCTCCAGGACAAAGCATGACACTTCAACCTCTAATGTGCCAAGCAACAGTTTTTAATTTGACTTTTAAAAAATCTTTATCGGGCATGGGAATACAACACTAAATTATTCAGTGTTTCATGCAAAATGTCATCTGTTTGCACAGGTGACTACATCAAAGCTAATCTGATGCAGTTACACTCTGAGGCATTATTTGAAATTCTCAGGTTGAGAATGACCTGCACCTCATTGTTAACGAAATATTGGAATCAAAAAATTTTTGAAGAAGTTACATTACAAACACATGATAATTGAAAGATGGTCTTGTAAAATGGCTGTGTCTAAGAAGCTTTTAGTTTTCCAATAGCGCTAAAGAAGATCCGTTGCAACAGCAAATCTCCCTTCTCCAAGTTTACTGGAAGAAGGTTACCAAGGCATTAGGAAGATGAATGATACAATACAACTATATCACGAGGTCCCTGTGTTGTCAATTAAATAAATTTAAAACAGGGCACTTCAGGGTTAAGCACAGTCCTTTTCCCTGCTATTTTTTGAGGAAGAACAGAAAAAAATCTTTTTTTTTTTTTTAAACAGATATACAGATATTTTTTGGTAGCTTTTTCTTCCAATGAGCAGTTCCTAAGACTCCTCATATTTCAGTTACAACACAGTAAAGATAATGCCTTTATTTCAACACTTCTGACTGCATACTGGTAAGTCAACAGTCGTAGGGACACTAACAGATATTACACACTGGAGTAATAATGCCGCAGCATTTATACGTGATGGATTTAAATCCTATGTAGAAAGCATAGCATTGATGGCAAATCAAAATCACAGAACTGTAGTCTCATTAAAAGGTTCCAGTGTAAACCTTAACTTCAATAACTGCAAAAATTTTAAGTAAATGTGCACATCTACTACTGCATCCCATTCCAGGGCAATTTGGACCATTCATTGCTGACAGTTAAACAATGTTCAGATAATGTCTACACACAATCACACCTAATTCAAATGAGTAACCGACTTTTTATTACAGACACAAATTGCAAAGCCATTTAATAAGTAAACTGTGGCTTGTTTCATCTTCTTTGCAGCGACTGGTCTCACAAACGACCTCACAGCAAACAAATAAAACCTACTCCAGTAACCACATCAACCAGTAACTGCACTGAAAACCCTTCAGCTCAGTCCCACCAACAGCCCAGCTCCGTGCAAGGAAACTCAGCGAGGTACTAGGGCTTCAAGGCTGAACCTTCTCAGCAACCACACACATGTAAGAACTACTAGGGCAGCAAGCATTCAGAAGAACCAGTCCATCAACTAGAATCCCAGTTTAGCCCTGACAGACTCAACTTTTGCTATCTGTAGTTACAAAGAGATATGCCCAGTTTCAGCAATCCGGGACACAAGTAACAGCGCACGCAGCTCTGGAAAAGAGCAGCTAAAATAGCTTGTGATGGCAACACATGATACAACCCCAAAGTGCTATTATTAACTTATCCCCAAATCTATTCCATACCCTCAGGGACAGACCTCGTCATCTCTCTAAATCCTTGTTGCTTTTGCTTTAACTTAATATATTTTGTACCATATTTATCGTTTGAATTTCCTGTTTATGCCTTGTAGTCCTCCTTTATACTGTATCTGCTCCACTGCAGGCACGCAGTGAGACTTTACATTGGAAACACGTATCTTCATCTTCAGCCTTTCAACTGCTACAGAACTCTCATCAATTTACTTTCCTTAAAAGTTTGGTCTTCATAAAAGGCACGAAAAAAGGAATCCATCACATATATACTACAAAAGATACTGCTTTAGAGCAAACCCAAGGAAGTTTTAGAGAGATGAAAAGCACTGACAATTTCTTTTAGCCACAAAGAGCTTTCAGCTATTTAACTCTAATCTAAAACCGCTGAAATTTTACATCAGTTTAATCTATTAATGAATCAGTACAGCTCTACTTTATCTGTAAATTCTCCAAGTCAGAGAGCATCCACTTCAAAGATCTAATTTAAGTCTGTTAATGTGAGCAGCCACGGCGACTTCAGCCTAATTACGCCTTCAGCAAAGCGAGCAGTTACATCACTGTAATTCAGCATCCTGATACCATTACACAACTGTATGTGCAGTCCAGAAAACAGCCAATGCCTTCCCAATCCTCTTCGGACGGCACGGATCACACCCGTGCTGCGCTGTACCAGTACCAGTCCACCCTCTCATTTTTCACAGCGCGAACTATTTGCATTCCCACTTCCTGTCAGTGCTGTTCTTCCCTCCTGGAAACAAGGCAAACTAGCACCAGGCAAATCAGCAAAACTCCCCAGCGCAAGTGCCGGGACGTTCGGGAAAAGCCAGGCGTATCGGATGGCTGCTGTTCCCTTTCGGCTTCCCACGGCGCCAGATGAGACTCGACACAACTGTGCAGGGGCGCACAGACACTTCCATGCGCTTGTTTCCATGGCTGCTGACATGATAGCTTTTATTATTTTTTTAAAAAATAAAAAATAAAAGGCGGAAGCACAGCAAAGACCTTGAAACACCCCATTAGGAGCTGACACCGAACACCGGCCGGGACGCAGCCTG